TCTGCGAGTCTCTGGCGCTCATCTTTACCGCATTTCTTTCATCCATCATCGGAATATGGGACGCAATTTATCAAAGTACATGGAATAAATAATACGGAAAAAGTTGCATGCAAAAGCGCTATTTCTCCTGCTCCAACGTCTCATTTTTTACCACGTTTATTTTTATCCCATCCCTCGGCTATGCGATTGTGGAATATTACCGATTATAACGTGGAGGCTCGAAATATTGTCCGAAAAAAATTAGTTTTAACATCAACACCCATAAGTATAACGTTTAATGGTGGCAGCACATTTTTATTTAATACGAAAACACGCATCAAGAATTTCCAATTTCAAATTGTGCTTCATCCACAAAAGCCACTCCCGGGAGCATTCTAAAGAAAATGTTTTATTAGTTTCCCGTATCACACGCTGACACTTTTCCCGCTGTTCATTGACACCAATCTGTTAGATCTTGACTTTTCTCTCGGCATTACTTATCTTTCGTTTTTGTGGTGCTTGTTTATTGAAAATGCTCGAATTAGAACCTTTTCCGAGTCAGAAAACGAAACCTTCATTCCGATGAAACATAATGAAATATTATTTGTCGACAAAACAGGCATTGAGATTTAGTTTTCTTTAGTTGAAGCTTTCATTGTTAAATTAACTGCAAGTCAAATCAGGAAGGTTTCAATAAAAAGTTTTCAGTTATACAATGTTGTCATTATACAAATTTATCAACAAACAGGTATACCAAATGGAATATTTAATATATAACATATATTGCTTATCAAAAAAGTTCGCTGCTAATAGTAATGTATTGATTAAACTGAAACCATATGGCCAATTAAGCCAAATCGCATTTAAAATAAAAGATTTATTTGAAAAACATATTTCCTACAACGATAATCAATATTATCGATAGATCGTTTTTGTCCAGAAATTGGTAGCAACACTTCTTCGTTAAGTATCAACTTAGCAAAAAATCTGGTGCAGTCGGTGGAATTAACACTGGTTATCTACTTACTATTATTATATATTATGCAAAACAAATCTTTAGTAATTTTTAAATAAATTATTTTAATGACACTTGATGAATAAATTAATAAGTTAAATTATAAATTTGATCCAAAACGAGTATTGTCTAATATAATATATCCAATGAGGAGAACAAGTGAAGCAAATACTTTTTAAATTGCCGACAGTTAGATATCAACAGTTTATTTCTTCAAAAATTTAGTTGAAACACCACCAAAATAAGAATATTTTTAGAATTATTTATGTGTATTCATATGAAAATTATATAATGCAGTAGGGATTTCTCTTGTTTGCCATGAAACAAAAATTAGATCCTTGTTGGAGAATTTCTTCTTACCTGACCAGACTTGGCAAGCCATAAATCAGCAAACAACTTAAATTGGTATGAAGATGGAAGTTTTGCATCAAATACCAGAACCAATTTATATCTCAAAAAGAGAACTGTGGAGTCGTTTTAAATAAACTTTGGGATTGAGAAACGTCACTCTACGGGTGCAAATCCAACGTTACATTCAAAGAATTAACACATTTAGAAAATGGAAAAAAATATTGCGGGAATCTGGATTTTGATGACGATTGGTAGACGGAACCAACAATTTTTCTGAAGATGAAACTAATAATGAATCATTCGAAGGCAATTATCAAGACTCGTCAAGTAATTTTCCTTCATTCCTAGCCTCAGAGAAAAATACTTTTCAACAAGATTCTGTGTTGTCTGAAGTTGAAACATTTTAATTATATTCTACATTACAATTCCATAAAATTCTGCTCCAACTGATCATAAAATAATTCTTCGATTGAAACTAATAGGTAAATTTCTTAGATTTAGAGAAAATTGCGAAACATTCTTATGTGCAGAAAATTTGCCCGAAAATCACCCGCGAACATTGCAAAACTGACAAAAAATAATTCAACAAACCATTGATTACTGATCAAATGTTGATGATTTGTTGCAGTGATTCCAAATTAATGTAAAAGTACTAAAGAAAACATGAAATTCTTAAAAACCAGATACATTAACTCTGAAATTTAAATTATCTAAAGTTTCAATAAATGGAAAAATTAATTCACAAATTCACATCTTTAAAACCATCTTAATGAAAACAAATCGATCTTCAAAAGGTTTTAACATCTCAAATTGAAAAGATTCAAGTCTATTATTTATTGTCATACTGTTGTTTTCTAAAGAAAACGGAAATTCTAAAAGGGAGTCATAAGTTTAAAAGCCCTTAAAAATTGACTTCCATTTGCTCAGTTTTAAGGAAAGAAGAATTATCTGGCTTATGCCAATTATGAGGAATAATGTCTGCAATAATCGTTTTTATCATTTGCATCTTTGAAAATTTGTATAAAGTGGCATATGTTAGTTTTCGTATTAGTGCGACTAACGAATTTTTAAGCTACTTAAATATTCAATAAAATCTCCCTAGGAAAGGAATGCATTATTGTCATTGTTATCAGAAAATAGAGTAAACAGTGAAAAAAACCGGCTGTTTGAGTGAGAACATTCAGCTGCGACATTGGCAATAAGTAAATCGGGCCGCGTAGTATAAAGCGAATGAAACCAAGTGATTTATTTTACCTAAAAGTTATCCAAGTTAGACGACAGTAAGTAAAGCACAAACGATCAGCAAAAGTTTTTTGTGCAATTTTTTGCTTTGTTCTAGAATCAAACTTTGCAAGTTCAATCTAATCTACTCCGTCCAGACAAAATGGTAAGGCAATATATAGTAATTGTCCATAGTTTAACACATTTATGTAAATTAATGTTAGAAATTAGAAAATAACGGCAAACGTAACCGAAATGAGTCTCCGCCAATGTCCGAATTAAAGCAACCGAACCTTGATTCGTTTAAAGAAAAGGACAATAGAATTAAAAACGAAGTGGTCGGTCCATTGCCTGGAAATGAAAGAAAAGAATAACACTTTGACGGCATTTAAAATGTACAAAAGTTGAGCTCATTTTGTGTTTTAATTATTCAAATTGCAAATTTGACTACCTCTGATACTTTTGTTCTTCTCGTCATTCGGATTCTAAGTACCTCGTTTCGGGATGAAAGCGGGGTTTGTTATCTCCCTTATAAAAGAGCGGGCATTATCTGTTCGAATAAATGAAAATTTAATATACTTACCGTCCGTAAGATTTTTATTAAGATAGTCTTATGAAAATATATATTAGGTAGATTGGGGCCATAATGAGCGACCGGAGAGTATCTTAAAAGGGTTTTTTTTCTTGAGAGAGTGTTACAGTAAAATATGAACCTTTCTCCTGTCCTCATAAAAGAATACAACGCACATTACAGTTGTGTTTCATCCATTTTCACCTAAATGCGGTAAATTTGAGTTCACATTTTTAAAACTTTAAAACATGTGGTTAAATAAGTCGTTCATTGCTCATTTTGTTAGTGAGTCACATCTAGTAGATTTCGATGAAAAAACATTTGTATGAAAACCTTTTGATGAATTTCTGCAAAATATTAACGCTGTATTTTCAAAGTTTCTATTGAATAACTCTCAAACCGCAAAATAAAATTTTGTGATTTTGGTTTGATAACTGTTCAATATGTTTTTGCTAAATAATGCAAAGAGACAATTACCATGCACGCTCGAAAAACGCTTTTGAATCACATTTATTGCAATTTTCCGAGCAAATTAAATTCTAGCGCAAATAAACATTTTATATGCATTTGCCTATTCATGGCAAAGTCAAATAATAACAAAGACGTTATACCGAAACATGGTTTGTTTAGCAAAGACCACAGTCCGTCCAAAATTGGATTAAACTGAGAACGACAATGCTTTGTGCATATTTAAGCATAGGCTGTGCATTATAGTGTCGCTAGCCCAGACGTGACCAAATTTCACGAAGCGTTAATTTTGCTGAATTTTGTAAGCAAAACATACTATATCCTCTAATAGATATTTAAATTTGCTTTCGGGTTCATTTAAACTGCACTCCAAACCTTATATAGTTGAGGGTACTTCCAAAATATGAGTTCAGCAGAAAAGCGAAAAATAAAATCTCCCTTTACAGTCAAGTATAAATTATATTCGTATATTACTCGGAAAGAATCTAGGATGAAATATAATATCGATATTTGCTGAGAATGCAACGTGAGATTCGCGAAGTATATTGAGCTTGAGTTCCAAGCCTGAATGCTGATCAGTCCTTTATTCCTTGTGTAATGGTTTCGTTTAAACTTATAGTTTGTTTGCTTGTTTTTATCTGAACGGCAATTGCAGACTTTCGTAGTTGTTTTATTATTCTGGAAGTAGTTTGAGTGTGATACGTTTTTATAATATCCGTTGCCAACGGACGCTTTGTCCAAAAATTATCATTTGATATATCTTAACATTTTTCAATTAATCATTAAACAGATAGAAATTGTCGAAAACTGTTCTTCGGCCGAAACACAAAAACACAAAATATACATCAAGGGAGAATATTGCCTCGACTTATCAATTATTCTTTCGACTCAAGATTTTTAAGGCCGATCAATTTGCTCCCTGAGCATCAAATAACCGTAATGAATAAGGAAAGCTTTTAAAGCCAAATGTCAAAGGAAATAATATGATTTTTTCTTCGACGCGTTCTTTGCTCGATAAACGCAAAAGCGACAAAAATATATTACGAACACTTCTTGCTTTGCTTTGGGTAATAAAACGAGCGGTTTACCTTTCAGCAGACTTTCAAATGTTAAATGGATCAACTATTATGGAAGATTGCAAGAACTTCAGCACAATATACAGGGTGTTGCAAATTCAATGAATTTCGAATAAAAATTTTAGCTTAAAKGGCTATTTTAAAAAATAATTGAACYTTTGTTAGAAGTAGTWAAATTTTTTAAAGTTTATACTGTCAKTGATTGAGTTRAATGTTTCGCTTTTGGGTTTCTTCTTCAATTTTTCAATTTTTTCCATTTTTTTTTAAATTAACKRTCTGTTTATTTGACGTTGATTTAACCGTTCTCAAACACTAGTAATGTCACGGTGAAATATGCATTGTACCTTCAATGTTCAATGAGACTGTCGTTACAATTTATTTAKTCTTTTATAATCGAAAACTGTGAGTGTTACTTTGAATTTAAACTATTTTGTGCGGTAAGTGATTGGGCTKGGAGTGCATAAACTCAATTGGAATTTGACTAAACAATGTGGGTGAGTAAAGKAATGAGAAAAAAGTATTACAGTTTAGTCAATAATTGACTTATTATTTTCTAATCGTATCACATTTCCGGATAGKTTTTCTGCAAATATTGGACKATTACTTGACATATTTTATAAGTTTAGAACCAATTTTCCAACGAAAGTCTCTGAAAACAGGTGAATAAAGCTGATTCTTAACGTCTCTTTGATCTTAAATTATTTCTGTATAGAAACGTTTAAAAAATTGAACGAAAGGCAAAATTTCAACATGGGTGTTTCGGTATTAAAGTCAGCGACTTTTCTCCATTTAGTGTGCACTTTGAATTCCTTTGGTGTATGAGATCCTAATCCCAAGAACGTGTTAAACCCTGTTTAAGTAGGTGATAAAAAACATTTCCTTGCAAAAGAAGTGTATTTCTGTTATTATAACTCTAGCTTGTTAGACACTATATCAGAAGCTAAAAAATTTCTGCTACTTTTCAATAAAGCGCCAGATATTTTAAGGAGATAGATATGAAAACGCAATCATCTATGAGTTTCTTAAAAATTTTAGCGAGTATTTACGTACCCTTTTTTAATTTTTACTATCCAAATTACCATATTTTTATGCTTCAGCAATACTTCAAATTACAAAGCAACGACGCTATTTTATATATTTTCGACGCATTTAGTGGAGGCGCTTAATTGCATTATTCATTTTCTAATAATTACTTCTGCTCTAAATATCTGGATAGTCCAAAAATAGTGAACTTTCCTACGTTCTTGCCAAATGCCAGTAAATGTAGAATCTTTAATCACCACTAAAGTCGGTTGAACTAAATTTGCATTAAAGAGTAAGCATAACAGAGCCGCATTGCATTTTCTATGCCGTTTAAAGATGCATCCATTTCCAACTAGATCACGTTCAAATTGAATACGGAACGAGAAATTTCCATAATCTGAAGCTTTGTGATACCCACCGCTGCTCTGTCAAAATGGAAAAAATTACACCTCGCTTGTCAGATGTTAATTTATACAATGATGGATATTCATAGACAGTGGCGATTTTCTAAAACCATATTGCTGGATGGATATTTTCCAGTTTTCGGAAGCGTCTAAATTCAATTTCTAGCGAAAATCGAATGCAAAATATTTCCAGTTCTGATATTTGTTGAGTTTTATATTTTATTTTTGGTTCACTTGAAGCGATTTGGTGGCTAAGCAAACCGGGTTAAGTGAAAGAAGGGAATTTAGTTTAACATTAAACAATTCAAATATTTTTCTTTCAAGTTTTCATCCCTAACCAACAGCTTAATTAATCGGCATTGCAAGAATCCTCGTTTATTAAATTGAATCGAATCACAATTTATCTGTGTTTGATATAAACCGCTTCGTCATCTTTTGTTCTAAGGCGGACGACTTATATTATTGTAATATTGATAGATGGAGTCTGATAGAAGTTGTGATAAATGGCTGAATGTCCCCAGCAAAATTCTCTCTAACGGGCCCACACTTGGATGATAAATTCTGAAAGGTGGGAACGGAAAGGCCTATTCCGGATTAGAATTTCATTTTTGTATCAAATTTGATTTATTTTTTCTTTCGACGCATGGAAATTGTGAGGACCGATTTTGAAATATTATGTCTAACCTTTCATCTGGCAGCTTCTGAATTTTAAATGCGCTCATCCCGATTTCATGTGTGTTGGTTTTTTTGTTAACGAAGTGCAAGAGCATGCAGAATCTTTAAATTTTACTAGGTAATGCCAAACAGTTCCTCTTTTGGTTATCGTTTCAAAATTCCACCTCGCTTTAGTTATTTTTAAATAATGGGGAATTTTATTTTACAAGACAAAAATGAGGAGATAGAGCTGATTAATGTGGGTTTTTAAGTAGCGCCACTCACTGATCTTATAAATTCTATGACCGGTTTAAACTCTGCTTCTTTGACACAGGACAATTTATAGATGCTATCAAGATCAGGTGTAACGGAATTTACGAGCACTTGATGTTTTATAATTTTCTGAAGGTTTCTCCGATTTTTTCAATTTCAACTACGTTATTTATATGCATCTTTCGGCGGACATTTCGTATTTGTTTTAACAAAGGCAAAGGAACTTTTATTTAATAAGGTGTTAAAGTTTTTAAAATGCGTTATTTTTGTACGTATGTGTATATTGATTTTGATGAAAGCATTAATTTTAGTGGCAAAATATAAGAAATATGAAACTGATCGTGATAGAGACAACTACAGCTCTAGGACAACATACTGAGATAATAAGAATTACATAATACTTATGCACCGTTTAGGGCTCAGATAAAAATGTTTAATATATACTTATTCAATTAAATTGTGATTTTTTGAAAATGAGGCAGCATTTTCGTTTAGAAAAGTCTGAAAGTTTAGCAATTTTTCAATTAAATTTTTTAAACAAAACAACAGCTGTTTCTGTTCTTTAAGACCCGATTTTTATTAAGATCTAACAGGGGTTTGAATGCATAAGGAATTGCAATTGTTGGTAAAAAAATGTTGAAATATTTTATCACTAATTTTTAGTTTTTACTTTTTAGAGTCTTATTAGAAATAA